CATCATCATCATCATCATCATCATCATCATCATCATCATCATCATCATGGTCAGTATCCAGGGCCCCTCAGAATCGAATTGTCCCCAAACGTGACCCACGTGCCACGTCAGGCGCTGGGCTGAGCACACCAGGCCGGACTTCTTCCTCTTCGTGTGCCACGGATGTTTCCAGTCCATCCTAGTCCAATTTGAGCGGGCCTCTAAAGACCAAGGTGGACCTGGTGTTGTCTAACATCCTTAGTCAAACCATTTCTCGGATTATGAAATTTCACGTCTGGTGCGCCACAGGAATCCTCAGGACTCAAAGAACACCTGACTGTCCCGCCCCCAAGCAGTCCCGTCCCATGGCCGTTGGCCCATGGCCCTCCGATCAAATCCGAACGGTCCTAGCGGGTCCTAACGGGTCAACAGAGCCTACTCTCCCTTGGAACTAACATGCAAGCGGAAAAACCACCTGTTTGTACTAGTAGTGGAAAATGGCCTTCCAAGGCGTCATTCTCCACTTCCATGTTAGTTCCAGGGAGTGTAACGGGTCAATTGAGCTCCCTCAACGGCCCACAGCTTGCGCCACAGGCCCCGGCCCGCGCGGGAACACCTCCCACGGCAGCAGCTCCTCGTTGGGGCGCTTAGGACGGTCCGGACCCACCGCGTGGGGGAGAGGAAGTCTCCGAGCTGTTTGAGCATTTTGGACCTGGATAAACATGACCAATCGAATGTATCGAACACCGGTGCCACCTTCCTTTTCGGGACGGGAGATCCAGTTTCTCTTCGCTCCGCTTCGATCGCGGTGATCGGCGGACGGGTGATCCGTCGGCCGGAGATACGAGCGCCGTCGGCTGGGCATTCCAGCCGTCAGGGTCTCAGGTCCTGGTTCTCTGAGTTCAGCCAGTCTGTTGCGCACCAGTTTGTGTCACCCTGGCCGGGCCGACTCTCCGTTCAGAAAGTCGAAGAAACAGTTGGAGAGGACCATGAGACGCATGGAATCAGGATGAACAGTGTAAAACCAGTTGTTCTTATTGTTTCAGAGGGGGTCTAAAGTCTAATTTTATAGAAGCAGGTCATCAGAGCTAATATTGTACGATAACTTGAGACAACTTGGATTTGGCTGGTTCTTTTTGGGGCGCAGCCTGCCAAGGCGAGGGCAGCAGGTTCTTCTGGGACTCCGGGATTCCCGCAGGGACTTTGGGACTATTGGGACTTTCAGGAGGGAGTTGGTTCCCTTGGTGCAATGGAAAGAATCGGAAAGAATCAGATGGACATAGTATATGACATAACCCTCAACATGGAAAAACATCCATGCCATGCATTCGTCCTTCTGCAAGGTATAGCTTTCAGATTCAGTCTAAGTCAGAGCCCTTTACTTGTTCCGGTCGCTGGACCTGTCGCTGGGAGGATGATCATAAGCACCTTGAAGAACTTCGCCTCTCTTTGAGTGGAACGCGAACAACTAAGTAAGCATGACTTCACTTTGAGGAACCCCATAGTCTCCCCATCCGCTGTTTTGTATCACTGCCTTCGACCAGGCCATCCACATGTCAGACTCCCATCAGCGAACATTGACGATAGGGGACCGGCTCCGGGATAGGGATGGACACATCTTGTGACGTTTGGCGACCGTTTGTGACCCCTTAGTAGCTAGGACGCTATTAGGTGGAGGCCATCGGAAGTAGGTTGGAGGCCATCGCTACTGACCATGAACGTGGTAATTGCAAACACCCTAGGCTTCCAACAACCATTAATTTAATAGGCTTTACCCAATCAACTAAGGATTTTACAATACAAAAACCAGGTCAACCATTGTTTTAATGGTCTTTGACTCCCAGGGAACAGTTACATAGCTGTTTTGAATGAAGCACCCGACATGATCACTGCATCCGGGATCGGATCGGTCCCAGTTGGGCGCCCAGGAACTCGGCGCCCCAGCCGTTCGGCGCACCGTTCCTCGGGCCGAGGTCCAAGTCGCCCTCGCCGGCGCCGCACATCAAGGAGTTGAGTCGGAGGGGTTGGGAGGTGAGGGGCACGGGGAGATCTACTGAGGCGACCAGTCTCCGGGCGCGAAGGAGATGTTTGAAACAGTTATGGCAAAAAAACACTCACAACACACAAACGTAGAACAAGAGGTGTACCATAATGTATACTGTAATACACATCAAAGAATCAATTAGGACTCCTTAGGACCAAAAACAGCATCTTGGTTTGGCAGCCAAGGGGGGCGTGTTTTTGGAAGCTATCTGGTGGCTGTGCGCAATCCTGAACGCCTGAGTCAGGATCCACTGAACGCCTGTCCGGGACTGGGTGCATCCCCGGTTCCCCTTTCCATCCAGGTATGGTCCAGGTATGGGGGAATCGATCGGAAGGGAGTCCCGACCGGTGGCTCGGCTTGGTGGGAAAACGCCTGGCTTCGCAGATGAGCCCTGGAAGAGATGCCCCCTGGGTGTCTTATTATGTGTAACATGTTGTACAAAGCTGCTAAGGCCAGCACCTTCCAACAGGTGAGCACCTGCCACTTGAAAAGGTTTGCAAAAACCACCACTTCGGAGACCTGTAACAGAGTCCTGGAATATGATCACCATTTTGGGGGAGAAAGGCCTGCCATCATCATCCTACTGTGGTTGACCCCTTTTCACTGCAAATAAATACGCCGCACATGAAACTGCTTGGGGCAGCAGGCAGAATCTCTCAGATCATAGTCATAGACAGGCAAAAGATGGCAAGAGAGCGAAAATGGATCCGTGGACCCTTTTCCTGTCTATGACGATCTGAGAGCAACACAGGAAGACCTTGGTTGCTCTCTTTTCGCAAGCTGAGCGGAAGACCTTTGAGTGGAGACCTTGCAGCAAACACAGGCGCTTTCTTCTGGACCTCGAGTGCCTCTGTCTGCCGCAGCGGCTGCAGTCCTGGATGGCCTCGCGCAGGCGGGACGGAGACCAGGAGCAGAGCATGTTGGGTCGTGCAGTGATTGAGAGTCAAAGCCAATTAAAACCAATTAAAACCTGTTGCAGTGATTGGTTTGCACGTGAATCAGAACGGCCCTTCAGTGATTCAGGTCAAAACCGATTAAAACATATTAAAACCATCCTGGGCCCCAAGCCGTATTCACCTTCTCCACGCCGTATTTGCGCACGTGGAGCCTGCAAAATGGATAGTGCTGACCTATTGAGTGGCATGATCCAGAAGGGCTCGCAAAAATTAGACATGTGAAACCCATCGCCTTTTGTATCCACCCGGCTCATCCGATATCACAAAGACATGGACACACTCGCTCGAGGAAGGTTCAAGGCCGCCGGGTTTTTGGATGCACCGGTAGCTGCGGCTGAAACTGGGCCCCGCCGATGATGTTGGAGCGGGGCCTGATGAGAGATGACCACGTTTCTCCCATGGACGGCTGTGAAGGACGGGATGCGGGACGAAGGGGTGTGGGGAAGGATGGAAAATGCAGGTTCCAACCCGGCCAGCTTTCGTCAGATGTCGGCTCTGATGTTAGATTAGATGGGTGGTGGGATGTGGTGGGTGTCGATGGCACGGCACGCTATAGAAGTACATATACACAATGAGATCGTTTGCACAGGAAGCTCACTTTGTCGTCACCTTGCTCTTGCGTCCTTATTGTCACCGAATTGGTTTAAGGTAAAATTGACAGGACACAGTCTTTGGCGTGGAAACCATGGCTTCCTGTAGGTGTTCCCTCCCACCAATCCTCCATTCATTGTACTGTAGTATTTGTAGTTCACCACTTGGCTTTTACAAGCTGCTTGACGCATCTTCCTAGCCGTTCCGCTGTCGCTGGGGAATGTGTCGACGGCCTCCTGAAAGGTACTTTAACTTCGCTTTGGAGTTGGACATTTCTCTCCCAAAGTCAACTCGGCTTGAAGCCGTTTGGAAATCTAGACAGAAACCAGAATTCTCAAAATATATCCTCATCAGACAGAAACCAGAATTCTCAAAATATATCCTCATCATTCCTCATGCAGATTCCTTGAAAGGCTTTGGAAGGACCACACTAAGAGGGCCCCTCACTCTTCCGGGGGTTTGGTCGGCTTGGAAGATTGACATGGAACCTGAAAAACACTCGGTTGTAGAGGACAATAGTAATTCCAACCGTCCATTTTTAGGTTTCATGTTAAGCTTCCCGGGTGTAGCTCCTGAAAAGCTGGTGAGGAGGGCACTTCAGTCTCAAGCCCGATGAGCTGGAGTCTGATGGTCATGAGCTGACCAGGTGTCAGAGGCGGTGGTGTTTTGAAGAATCACCTTATATCCGGTTGCTTTGTGGGAGGGTTCATAAGAAGAGAGCTTATATGAAACCTGCCAGAGCTACTGTAAGTGAATTTTGGAAGAACACCTGCCAGAGATGGGCCATCTTTGGAAGAAAACCTACCAGAGCTGGTTATGTTGAGAAGATGCCCCGATTTACCCGGTTGACCGCATTAGTTTGTGAAGGGCTGCAAGAAGCTCGAATGGGAAGGTGCTCACAGTTCTTTTTGGTTCCTTTTTTTTTTAGCCACCGGCTACCTGCTGTTCAGATCGAATCCACAAATCCATCCCAACAAACACATCCTACCTTATATCGCAGAGTTGGCAGCTCGACAACATATCGCTGTCAAAGAGTCGAAACTGCTGCAGGTGTGGGATTGGGACGTTGTGCCTGGTTCTGACCTGCTATTTTCTTCCCATGCTTTCCTTCATCCCGCTCGCCCTCTTTGGTGGCGTGCAGACGCCACTGGGTCCTGGGGACAGGTCGATGGATGCGGAGGGTTTCGTCGCGCGGGTGATCGAAGAGTCCTAGAACAGCTGGTTCATAGGAGACTTAGGGCATATCAATGTCCATTTCGATTCTCCAAGGTTGCTCCTCAACGTGCTTTTCGCCACCCAAAAGTGCTCCAATAGTGCATTTCCTTGTCAGTGGTTGCATAAGATGTTGTTTTGATGTTGTTGGAGTCATACCTGCCCTTTACATAATATATAATGAGATACCTATATAGTATATATCTATATGCAACATCATATATCCAAGTGGCTCCTAGTTTAACGGATCTGATCTCCAAACACTAGACGCCGCGTCTTCTTCAGCCCACCCCGCAGCCCACTAGGCCCCCAGCGTCTTACCCCGCAGCCGCCGCAGCAACCGAGGCCCAGTCCATGGCAGGGTCAGTACAACAAGGATGCACCAGTGCCGGTGATGCCCTCGAAGGCGACCTCAAGTGTTCCATCGACCCACCCGCAGATCTAACCTGCATGCATCCATTCCCTGGCAGGCCCTGGGGGGGGGCATTTCTGGGGCCTGCCCAGATCCAATGCCACCTGATGGCATCCCGATGGCAGACCCTCCCAGAGCCAGGGCAAAGTCAGTGAACCAAACTAATTAACTAAAAACACACTGTAAATTGAAATTGAAACAAGCTACTAGTCTGTGGGTGAAGATGTCGGCAGGAGATGCCTTCCGGGCGATGGTATTGGAACTTGCCGCTGGTGTCATTGATCCTGGTAGACTTGGATTTGCAAGAGATCTTTGTTCCTGTGTGAGATGCGTTGAGCAGTGGCAAGCAGTGTTCTCTTGATTCCCCCTTGGGCCACTTTGGGAGATCAGCCCTCAAAAATTGAGCTCTACAAGCTCACAAACCGTTCATGAATTCGTGCTCATCGATCGTTTCAGTCGGTCGCGTCACGTTGAAAGGAACCGACCCAGCCCTAGGGACCAGTCATACAGAGCCCCTATTTCTTCATCACACTCTATGGGAATAGTCTCGATCTGGTGATTCATCTAGACCAGTCTCGTTGATTCACGTCATCTTGGGTGAGAGTGCAGCCTCGAACCAGAACCCCTTGCTCCCCAAGGTTCTACTCCCTGCTGGCATTATTTTCACCATGTACCAGTTGAAGATGCGATCTCTGCGACACGAGATGGCACGGCCATCTTGAGGACTGTGGCGCCATGGCGACCTCTTGGGTTGAAGAAGGGCCCACCCAAGCAGCACAGCACATCACAGTACCCATGAGTCCAAGAATTCTGAAAAAGCTGAAGCTGACGAAGCTGACGTTGCTGGTTTGCAGGGACGTCCTGGAGCTGATGCTATTCAATTTTGACAAGTTTTATACTATATAGCTCTTGAACTAGGGAGCCAAGAGCTAGTTACTTGATGCTTTGCCACCTCCACACTTATTTGTGCGCTATAAACATCACGTATACCCTGTTTGTCACAGAATTCTACATGAAGCGAATTGAATCCACGGGTCACTTTAGGCATGTTTGGCTGGATTCTCTTTGACACTGGTCACGTCCTCCAACGTTTCAATCCCTTCTTCGGAACCTTCCTCAGATCAATGGACTATGCGGCTACTTGTAGCAAGAAAGCGGAGGGAAATTGGGGAGACCGACCTCAGACCCGCGGGGTGTTTGGGGAAAAAGCTTTTTCGGGGTTGGCATCAACTCACCTAATGTAGACTCTTGAGGACCATACACCCCCCATATGAAGAGGATGTTCAATTCTTCTGTAGAAGGCAGATGATCTTGTACAGAACTGTGAACCCTTCGTGTGCGCGAGAGGCAGAAGAGGATGTTCAATTCAAATGGCTGGGGTATGCTGGGGTTATGGTCCTCAAGAGTCTACATTAGGGGTCTGTACCATTCCCTGTAACGACCTTTCTCAGTCAGTGAAGCTCCACCCGAACCATCATCCCGTGACCGGTCATGGGATACGTAGACCCAAGGTATGCAATTGAGGAGGTGGTTGCTGGGACTACCTCCACCTGTTCATCCCAAGCTGACCGTGCCACCTTTTGATCCCAAGTCCGGAATACCTGCCCTCATGATTGTCTAAAGGATCTCTATACTAAGTCTGATCTCTATCATGTTGCACTCGCCCCCCCCCCCAAACCAGCATGGCTTGAATCATTCGCCATGCTCGTTGGATGCAGGAGGCAAGGCAATTCTACTATGGGTTGTACTGGTACTGAACTTGGCTGAACTTGCGCACGGCCCGCTCGTTTCGATTTCGCGATTCCATTCGCCTCAGACCGGTGCTGGTGGGGCGATGTCTCACGCAAAAAACAGGAAAGGCTCTTCTGGTGTGGGAAGAGCGGGGAACCGCAGCCTGGGAGATACAGATATACTGGATCGGACCTGTCTATGCCAAACTAACTTGGTGGTGTCTTGATGGATGAAAAGGCAGAAATATACGGTGTGGGTCTCACCGAGGGTTTTCTCGATGGGGTTTGGCCATGTTTGGGGCACGTTTGACCGAAAGGGTGGGTTTTGAATGGTTATGATGTCCATCCAGAAGTGGGTGTGTATTCAAATAGGGACCTGGAAGATGGGGGGTAGACAAATCGTTTTGCAATTGTTTGTCTTGCATCCAGAAGCACCATTGAATTGATAGAGTGGCCTTGGCTTTTCATTCTTGCCTGTCCACGCGGCCAAAGCGGCTCCTCCTGTCCTTTCTCTCCTGACCCTGGCATGGGGCCTCAGAACCTTTTGTGGTCAGGTTAAAGTATTTTGCATCATTGAAGGGTCAAGACTCAAGACCAAGCGTTCAAGCGTTCTTTTCATGCTGGACTTGCCCTTCTTCAGCCTTTTCGTCAGCCCTGTGCGCACGTGGAAGGCTTGGATTGGACCCATGCTTGACATGAGGCTACATGAGGATCGCATGAGGCTTTCAGGGTCCTGCGCGCTGAGGCTCCTTGCTGGGTCATTAGACCTTTCCATCTCAAGCTCTTTGCTTGTGGTGCCCCAACATGGTAACGCCAGCTGATGCTGTCGCCAAGGCCATCAGGGCGATGGAAGCTTACGATGCGGCCCACAGCTGTAGCTGAGCTAGCTGGCACTGCGCCTGCGCGTGCTGCGCCTGCTGCCCCTGCTGGAGGTGGCAGGGCGCCTCTCATGAAGAAGGACCTGTGGGTGATGGACCTGGGGACACTGCCAACGCCAGGTTAACCGATTGGTCAAAGCACCACTGCTCCACTGCGCAACAGATGCACCAGCTTCTTCCAGTGCGGCTGCGCCTGCAGGGGCTCCTGCCCAGCTGAGGACAAAGAGGGCTGAGCATGTGACGGCGGCATGGGAAATGAGTCTCGTGGTGGAACAAAAGCATGCAATGTCAATTCCCCAGGCCTCACCTCAGCTGGACAATGTTTGGCTTCGCTTTAGGGATGGTGTCAAGAACGCGCAAGCGAAGATGAAAGCTTGCACTGGTTCTTAGGCGACCTTTAGGCGTGCTTCAAGGCCATTGTTTTGTTGAAGACATCAGAAAGTTTCATGATGCTGCGCCCTGCAGCTTGGGGAGGCTTTTGTAATGAGAATCCCTTGAAGCCTGGATTGTAAGCTCGCGACTATAACACGTAACACATAAATACCTTGCACGATTCTTTTTGAACAGCTTGTTTCGATTGTGTTGCCTTATAGAGTTGGTTTGATGCTGTGCCCGATCCATGCAGACTCTACATAATGCCTGCTGCAGCTTGGCCGGCCCTTAGCAGCGCAGAATGTCCTTCCAGACAGGGGGGACGGCTCTCCTTAATTTTTTTCCATGGCATGTGGCCAAGACCGCAAAATTGAATTCCGGAAACCCCTCCAAGCTGCCCTAGCGTTGACATTTGGGTCTGTGCTCATTGGGCGCGCAGCCAATTTCTGATCATGACAGTACTGGCCACGTGGTGAAAGAATGGTGTGGCTTATGGGCAGCCCTTGCCTCAAGGAAGCTTCCTGGCAAACTTCCACGCAGCGCTGCTTAGAACTTCTACCTTCGTCTCTGAAAGCAGGAGCTTGGCGAGTTATTTCTTTTTACGCTTTGAGTCCTGAGCCTCTTTCTCGAAAGTGAGATTAGGCTTGGGTGTGGATACGTAACAACAGTGTCAACATTTCTAGTGGCATTGTTTTTTCCTGCTGACTGGCTTGATCTGGCTTGTATTTTGGGTGGAAACAGCCACAGAAAGAGAGTTGGTCAGCTGCGCTTAGTGGCACCAGCTGCCCCAGCGTTGGAGGGAAAAGAAACAGTGCTTAGCATCAAATCAAGACAGCAGTCTTAGCCACAGATGTTCCACCAGTGCACTGGGCGTGTGGTTCTGCAGACGGCGCAGCAGTGGAACAGTGGAAGAGGGAATTAAAGCGCTTTGACAAATTCTGGCCTTAATATTGTTAGACACGAGTGGAATTCCAACACAGAAAAGCCATTGGCGGCATCCCTATTCTAATACACACCCAAGTAGCTTCGACATGTTGGCCATGCGGAGTAGGCAGTGAACTACTCAAGCGTTCTTTGCGGAGTTTTTGGCCATGAAGAGATGTTCTGTTTTTTTGAAAGAATTTCTTTGTTGTTGGAGAATAGCGCTCTGGCCTTCCAAGACCATTTAGACCATGGTTGGGGCCGGGAAATTCATGTGTCTATATTTCCGGACCGCCCAGATCCACAACCCCTCGGCCAGGCGGCTGCCCGCCCTGGAGGGCTGTTGGATGCCATGCGACAGCGAGGTGTGGATGGATTTGGGAGGCTTCACGGGGTCTTGGGGTCTTCCTATTGGCCCATCGTGAGGTTCACATGATGGGACTAAGGATGACGGCTTGTGTGTTTTGTGTTGGGTCGTATATATGTTATGTTTGTTTTGTTGCTTGACACACGGGGGGAACCTTTATTAAAGGGTGGAGAACAGGCGCTTGGATATGATCTGAACAACGTTGCAACTCGGCTCTATGATTCTCAACTCCGAACTTCACATCGGTACCCAACAAACATTGTTTGCCGGAAACAATGGTTAGCCAGTTAGCTTTGCGGGCATGTTTTTAGGTAATTAATGTTGTACATGTTGTAGTTGGTGCAATGTATTTAGGTCCGAACTGTGTGCATCACCAATGATTGAACACAGGCGTGCTTGTGGGATTCGGCCCACCTCTTGCACAGCGGTTTTGCACGGATATACCGGTCATTGTATACCCGAACGGATCATGCCTGAGAAAGACGTGTCAGCCCTGACAGCTGGACGGATTTGATGCCAGGCACCTTGCCCTCATGCAGCGCACCCTCCAGTAGCCGCGGTTTCGCCCCAGCGGCGCCGGCGGTGTCCTCGGCGCTTTCTTCCCCATGCTCTGGCGCTGACTACTACGCGGTGCCTGCGGGAGAAGCAAGGGAGCCTGGCATCAAAGTCTTTGAGTAGCAGGTGAAGAGTCCTGTCATGACGTATTTGGACCCTATGACAGGCATGACAGAGGCCAGATGATGACGGCCAGTAGTAGAAGATCACCTGCAGGGAAAACAACAACTTTGGGGGATTCATTTCCCCACCCAAAACGAACAGGTGCCCCATTTGATCCACTTTTCATGCCTAGGGAAATTGAAGAAGATCGGCGTGATGTGTTTTGTTGGTGGGACGTCCCAATTGGGGAGTGGCCCTCCACCCTAAGGCATCGGTGGCCAGCCCGTCGGAACCTCGGAAGAGGCACGGGTGGTTTCGTTTCCGCCACGACACCGATGAAGACTGCTAGTTGGAAAGGCCCCCATCGATCTAGAGCATGGTATATATACCCTAGGGTTCCAACCACCTCCTGAGAAGGTGGTTGGGGTGGGTTTGGGGGGGTCTAACCACCTTCTGGGGATATGGTTGGAGCCCTAGGGAAAAAAATGTATATATAATATCTACACACAACCCCCGCCCTTTTTCGGGCCTGTTCGGGGTGACTGGGTCAATTGGCAGCTTAAAATGCCAGAAGGAGTCCAACTGATTCAACCGAAGTTCGACCTTCTGCCTTCAACCTAGCACAGGCTCGCAGGAATCCACCTGTTCCATAAATCTGACTTGCCCATCAAGGCCTAAGGGTGGGGTAATCTGACGAGCTGAACCTTCCCAGCTTTGAACCACGAAAGGGTGTGCGCATACTCCACCACAGTTGGCTCAAAATCACGTCTGGGCAAGGCCCGTGCTGGTCAAATCCTGGCGACTGGTCACTGGTTGCCCCCCCGATGTCACTGGTAGGTTGGGGCTAGAGTTCTCAAGAGCTCTGAATTTGTGCAGAAGCTGAATTTGTGGAAGGTGATGTTTGTCCAGGGTGTGGATGACACACGCAAGAAGTCTCCAAAAGCACCTGTATATGAACCATCCACGTCAACCGATACCGTGGTCATGGTACCCTAGCCTTCCAAGCTCATTAAATGGAAGGTTGACCTGGTCGTTTAGCCTTGAATCCTCAGTAAAACAATGTAAAACAGCTCCGGGTTTCCACCCATTAAATCAATGGTGCGCTAGGAATCCTAGGGGCCTAGGATCATCCTTTCACCTAAGTCAGGACCTCTTCCTCCATTTTTCTCCTGCCCCGCAGGCCCCGCGAAGACGACGAGCTCGATGCGTCGCCAGCGACGTCGACTTCCGCGTGTTCGCCCTTGCGACCCAGGTGGAGGCTTAACAGTGCATTTTTTTGGAAGTTCAGTGAGGTTCAATGGATCCAACAGAGGTGGGTCAGAGCCCTAGTTCGACCATCCCAGTTTGGTACCTCAAGTGACGGGTCCTAGTTCAGGTCACTGGCTACCTCTCTTGGATAACCTGAAAAGCTTCCAGCTTCTTCAGTTCGTGACCTTTTTGGAGTCCCTAAGTGACCATTTCCAGGCCTGTTTGTGACCGAACCAACCAGGGGATCAAAAGGTCACTTTGAAGAACCAGGTTTGTTTTTTGGGGAATTGGTTTCCCCACAACAAGAACAGGTAGAAAAAGGTTATCCTGATTTTTTCAGGGAAAGTGAGGGAGTCAGTTATACCCCCTGAAACCTTGTGTGGCAGTGGTTTCTCACAACAACACCTGCACGATACAACACGGCGCTTGCCGTGGAACCCACGATGCAACATGTCCACGAAAGACCTCCAGGGACTACATCTCAAGCGATATTTCTTGTATGATCTTGTGAGGTTGGAGAGTTGTAGGCCCAAAATGTTTGAAGTAATCATGGAAGTGGAGTATGAGAAAATCAGGGTCATCCGAACCTGGGGGGGTGAACTGGCCATCCGAACTCGGTCGTTCCAGGAGTGTGGAGACCTACAAGTCTTGCTCAGATTGTTTTCGTTTCCATCATGTATAGACTCTTAATGAATAGACCCCCCATCATCCCCCAGGTGAAGGGCATCTTCCATCTAAATCGGGGCCGTGTGGATGAAAACCAGAGCACCGTGTCCAGACACCGCCAGGTCCTTGCCGCAGGCCAAGTCCAAGCCCACAGCGGCGAAACTCGGCCAAGTCCAAGCGGTGAAATGGGCCCACCGGGACCGGGGAGGAGAGATTCGCTGGTTGGATCGCCATGAAAAGAGGTTGATTCATGAAGCAGGACGTTTTGAATATACGTTTGATGTACGTGATGGCTTGATGCTTGGCGTCATGCTTGCTATGCTTGTACCGCCCTCGGATTCTAAAACCTCGTCGTTGTGGGGGTTGATTCATCAACAGTTTCCTTAATTATATTTATATAATTATTTATGTATAATTTACAATGATATACATGTTTCAGGCTGCAAGAACAAGACAAGACCCTAGCAGCGACCCGAGATGGCTTCGCAATCACACCCACAATTTTGGATGGGTGAGAGTCGTTCTTGAGCAGGATAGAGAACCTTTCTACGAGAATGTCAGTGTCCAGCTTCAAAGCGACCTTTTTTTTACATAAGTGACCTCAAAGTACCTCCTGGGTTTATGTTCGGTCACTTTGAAGGACCAGGGCGGGGCAGATCCACTGAACATCACAGATATATGATCAGATATGACACCACGAAACCCACCTGATTGACACATGTTTATTTTCATCTCACAACACGGCTCCAGGTCCAATATGGGATGATAAGAAGATGTTGAACAGGAGTTCTTCCAAATATGGTCCGAGTAACTATGCCAGGACACCCTAAAATAGGGGTTTCTATTGATAGCTCCTTACAGGTTAAGTGGTGTCCATTAACCACCCCTTGTGGGTCCTGGTATATAGACATGTTTAAACATGTTCAATCATTCTATATTGGATGCCTATGATCCCATCGGGCTCAGCCTCCACGGATAGCTGGTGTTATGGTTGCGTTCTCCGCGCGCGCTGAGGAAGACCAGAGTCGCGCCGAAGAACGCCAAGGCCGCTTGGGGATTGGGCATCCATTCCCAGACCATCCATGTATAGAATAGGTACATTTACCATCATTTACCCCAATTATGACCCCAATGTATGTATATAATATAACTATTCCATGCATGGAACGTTTGGGATAGTTCGGAATGAGCCAAGCATGATGGATTCTCATTGAGGCGCTCTTCACACGAACAGAAGAGAACAGAAGCCATGCACGCCGATATTTCAATCGCTGAGGGAGCCATAACATGGTACAGAATGCTGGTCGACCACTGGTTCTCCTGGTTTTGCTCAACGTGATGGCTTAGTTTCCCTATGGGTCAATCCACTTTGGGTGGATATGGTTTATGTTTGCCAGGCTTCTTGGACATCGTGCTACTCGTAGTATCTCACTACTACGGGCCAAGCTCCATAGGAATCCCGCTCAAGAAATGGCTTCCTGCGCACATCCAAGTGACACCAGCAGTCACAAAGGGGTGCCGAACTTGGAGTAATAGGGGTGCCCCTGTCACATGCACTCACTGGATGGGACAAAACACCACTCTGACATGTGACCCCTGGTAGGTATGGCTTGACTCCCGAAGAGGCCGTCGTTACGTCCGGGCCCGACGCCGCGACTGCTTCGCTCCAGGTGGCAGAGGGGTCAGCCTGGCTCGCGTTGAAGTGTGTGGAGTCAATGCAGTCCAAGGGTTGGAGCTTTGAAGTTCGAAGCCAACAAATACTGGCCATTCAAATCAGATACTCCCCTGAAGATTAACTGGAACCTCAAAACCACTGGTTGGTAGAGGAAAACAATCTTCCAGGGGGCCATTGTCAGGGTCCATGTTAGTTTTCGGGAGTGTAGGGGTACCTGTCTTGTAGTTTGCAATCCTCTATGTACAATATCCGTAGCCTTCAAAGACTATTG